CTTTGCTATCCCCCCCTTTCGCCCGACCCGAATCTACTTGAGCGCGGGGCGCAGGGCTTGCCTTAAGTCGGGCCTGTCCCCCTACAGGGGGATTTTCGGCTAAAGAACAAACAAACACCCCCAAAATATTCCACAACGGTCAAGAATACTAACAAAAATGATCCCCAGACTATGTTTGGATGATGTTTTGATGTTTATTGGGTATTTTTTTCATTTTTCGTCGAACATCCCCCTGTAGGGGGACAGGCCCGACTTAAGGCTTGCCGTGGGTTTGCCGTGGTGTCGGCGTCGTCCACTTGGGCGCGTCGGACAAACGGCGCGGCGACATGTTTGGGTGCACTGTTCGTTGCACGACTTGTTCCACCCGTGCTGGTATGAGTAGCTGGTGGAGTGTATGAAAAGCCTTTCCGTCAACTGGTATACCACGGTCTGCATAATTCGGTGAAGCAATAGTCTGGCCCGTTCCTGAAACTACCGCTCCATGCGAGCATCTTGGGCCTTGCTGTACTTCCGCTTCGCATTCGTGTGGGCCATGCCGTTCACCAGAGCCTCACGCAAACCTGGGCTCTGCACCGGCATTGACAGTTTTTTCTGCTCCCTCGCCTGCACGCGGGCGAGTTTGCAAAAGAGCACCAGCTCGCACTTGCGCTCGCAGTTGTAGCTGTCTTACCCCCCCCATTCTTTGTCCAACTGCTGCCTGCCCGTCGTGATAATCCTTGTGCGTTCCAAGAGGAGCCCGCCCATCGCGTAGATCTGGGTTTGCCCGACGTGACGGTCCTTGATCTCTTCCCTGGTGAGCTGTTCGTGAGGCTGCGGTTTGTTTGGCGATGCGCAACACCACGGCCGAGTCCTGAGGGGAAGCGAGCGTGTCGAATATCACGCTGCTCATACCCCTATTCGACTGGGCGCGCCGACGACGCTGCTCAATGATGAGAGTCATCGGTTTGCGCTTGCTCGCCAGGAGTTGTGCGCGTGCCCGCTTGAAGCTTTCTGTTCCTCCGTCTATTTGCTATCCTCGGCGGAGCCGCGCGCGCGCTTCCGCTCGATGTTCCTGCGGTGGCGCCTTGCGGGAGCTGCGCGGGCTTGCTGAATGGGCAGTGGCGGTCTGTGGATATGAGCAGTTCAGAAAAGCTCGTACAGCAGGGCGGATCTCAAAATGCTGCTGGCGAGTGCAAGTCCATGTCATTGCGTTTTCTCTTCTGCATCGATTATCTACTTGTGTGAGCTCTCTTTTTCAACATTGTGAAGCAAGAGGCGTATACTATGTCCTGAAGATCGGTATGAGGTAGGCTGGCGATTGCCAGGGAATGGCTAAGCTCGCACGTGTATCTTTCGTCGGGAACGTCGATCATCTTGGCCACGTTGTCGTACAATGAGGCCATACCGCACTGCTAGGGGTATGTGCGATGGCCCAGATAATTCCAAGGCCGAGTCGGACGAACTTCTGCCCAGAGTCGGGCGAGTAATCAGTTCCAGGACTCATCTGACAGACCTCATGTTTCCGAAAAGCTCGGGAAAAAAAAGGGTGACGGACGGAGGGAAGTGGTTTCCAGCCGCGCAGCATCCGATCACGGTGCTGAGCACGTGCCCGCGCACGGGAAGGTAACAAGTCCATGTCATGCTGGGCACCCCGAGCGATACCATGCCGACGAGTGAGACATGAACAGGGGCGACCCTAGGGGCACGCACTTGGCATCGTCTCGCGATGGCCCCTGAAGAGTGAGGTGAGGTGCAGTAGCTGTCTTGGAGACAGCTTCTGGGGTAGTGGCGGCGTCAATTGCGGCTACAATGCCCCAGAGGCTAGTCGGTCGGGTCGCTGTGCGTATTCTGGTTCTCCGCGCTGGAGACCCAGACCTCTGGCGACCTGAGTTTTCCAGTACGCCGGGGCTGGGGATCTCGGCCGCAGCTCTCGCATATATGTCATACCGTGGGTTGTTTGCTACGACACGCGATGGGCCCCTGAACGCCCGAGCTCATTTAAACCAGCCGTCCTGATGTTTTCAGGGCGCTGGAATTCCGGGCAAGGGCAGGGGCGGGCCCAGTTCCGGTAGCCCGGTACGTGAGTGCCAAGACCGCTCGGTGGATAACAAGGGCGATGCTCCTTGCGATAGGAAGGTGGAGATCGCTGGCCTGGAGCTCTTCCTGCTGCTGCTGGTCCTCATTCTCCTCCTTCCGTTTTCCTTCTTCTTTCTCCGTCTCCTACACCTCGTCGTCGTCGTCGTCGTCGTCGTCGTCGTCGTCGTCGTCGTCGTCGTCGTCCTCTTCCTCCTCCTCCTCCTCGCCCTCTCCACCTCCTCCTCCTCCTCCCCCTTTCCATCCTCCCTCTCCTATTCCACCCTCTTGGATGAGACCGCTGGGCTCCGGCTTCTCTCTCTCCCTTTCTCTCTCATCCCCCACCGTCGAGCCGAGATGACTGAGGAGAGGGAGCCCTGCTCGGAGCCTCGCGAGGCCTGTCATGCAGAGGCGGCGCTTCTTGGTGCGCTCGCTGCCTCCTCCGTGTGTGGAATTTTAGGGTTCACTGCAGGGAGAGATCTTTGGGATGTAAGCTACTGGGTCTCTCATGGCTTTAGCCTGTCCACCTTGCCCTCACAGGGACGCGCTCTGTTACAGGAGCGGTGGCCCGTGTGTTTGTGTGTGTGTGTGTGTCGCCGCCTTCAGCTCGCTCTCCGCCGCCGCTCCTTGACGCACTCCTTCGAGTGGGAGGTGGACTACAGAATTGATTTACCCCGAAGTTGAAGTCCTCGTCGAATCTGCTTGGAAAGTGTGTATCATGTTCGTAGTGAATCCATTTTGTAGTCGACCTCTTGCTCGACTCCTTTGTCGGTCCACTCTCGGTTACTTGCTCTCCCCGCCTTCCAGTCCCAGTTGGCTTATGCCACCGTCCACCCTCACTGTAGTTTCGTCCGCTCATTGCCCCTCCCCGCCATGCAGGCCAGGATGGTTATGGCTGCTGCCGGTTGCGAGACCCTCAGTGGTCTCTGAGAGCTCGGTCGGGCGTAAACGCGCGCGTTTCGCCGCTTGCACTCGACTTTCTACGCCCTGCCCTGTCGCTGCGCGCGTGGCGGCGGCGCCAAAATGTGTTCGTGTTTGTGTTTTTGCCATCCATGCCCGGATGGCTTATTGCTGCCAGCTGCTGCGGGACCTTATGCGGTCTCGGAGGGCTGGGGCGTTCCTATTCGCGCGCGCACTTTCGCTGCTTTGCGACCTTCTCCGCCCTGTCGCCGCGCGCAGGGCCGCGACGCCAAAACAGTGTTTTTTTTGTGTGTGTGTGTGTGTGTGTGTGTGTGTGTGTGTGTGTGTGTGTGTGTGTGTGTGTGTGTGTGTGTGTGTGTGTGTGTGTGTGTGTGTGTGTGTGTGTGTGTGTGTGTGTGTGTGTGTGTGTGTGTGTGTGTGTGTGTGTGTCTGTGTCTGTGTCTGTGTCTGTGTCTGTGTCTGTGTCTGTGTCTGTGTCTGTGTGTGTGTGTTTTTGTGTGTTTGTGTGGCCGTGTGTCTCCAAAGTGGCGGGGGCGGTTAGGGACCCAGAAGCAGCGCAACAGGTGAGCGAGGGCAGCGCGTGCTTTTCCGATCTGGGGGTGGCTCGGGACGGTGCCGCATGACCTTCGAGGCCATCCGAGAGCCTTGCGGGCACTCCCTCGCGCGCTGCTCCCCCCCAGCGGCATCCCGAGCCACACCGGCCCAGCACGCAAGCAGATCAGGACGCGTCGGGCTGGGGCGCTGGAGCGTCGGCACCAAGGCGTGGCGAAATACAGAGCACTTCGCCGCAAGGCTTGGCCGAGACAGGCCGCCCTCTTCCGCTTCAAGAGGGAAAAACACACAGACACAATTAATCGTCGACTCTCCAGAAAATATGGGAAAATATGGGAAGTGGGGGGAGACGAAAACCCAGAAAATATGAAAGAATATGGGGGGTCCTGTTAGTTGTGTCTATTTCTTTGTGTGTTTCAGGGCCGCTTCTGTGCTTCCGGTCCCCCTCCTGGTTTCCGTTGTGTGGTTTACACAAACTCGTCAGGAGGAAGAGGTACCCATGACGCTAGCATGGCCTCGTTTTCCCCTGTTTGGGCCTCCTGGGAGGCCCTTGTCGCCACCGCTGGATTCGCTTCGAAATTTTGGTCAGAACGCACCCTGGGAGAGGTCCTGGGAGTAGCGGTATAGGTATCTCTGGGTCTCCCCGCAAATGGCCGTTTTGGCTTTTATGATCCCGCACACAGCGTCTTGGGCTCTTTTCTTTGTCCTCGTTTTCCTTCATTGCTTCTCAGCCCCGTCCTGCGCTTTTTTAGAGGCGCGCATCAAGAGGCAACCACAGGGACATCGGCTTGCTTTGCGCTGTGAAACATGGTCTGTCCTTCCGCCCTCCTCCCCATCCTCGTCCCCCTCTCCCCCTCTCCCTCCGATACATAGGAGCACCTTGGAGAGGCGCCTGTGGATCGGGCACGCAAGGGGGGGGGCGGCTCCGCTTGCACAGACAGCCGGTGGAGTGCGAGAGCGTTTTGCTGGGCTCCGTGGCGTAGGGCGCTGGGCTGCGAGAACGCGAGGCGGCCATCGCAAACCTGAACCGACGCCCGACGAGGGTGCTTGTCATTTCGCCTGCCGGGGCTCGGCGAAGGCCCAGGAAAGGGCGCAGAACGCCAGGGCTCTGCGACGAGTTGCGAACTCCACCGCTGCGGGGCTCACTCGCCGCGGGGGCGTCGGACACCCCCGCTGTGGGGTTCCCTTCGCTGCGGACATCCCTCCAATTCTGCAAGGGCTCCCTCGAGGGCGCGAAGTTATTCGCGCTTCGCTCTTCGCGGTCCTCGTTCCTTCTCCTCCTCCTCCTCGTCCTCCTCTTCTCCCCCTTGGGGGGCGGCGCGAGAGCGCGAAGTTATTCGCACTTCGCGCTTCGCGCAGCGCGAAGCGCGAAGTTGGGAGCCCTTAATTCTGCACCCCAGCCAGTGTTTCAGAAATCTGACCTGCAGGGGTAGGGTTCGGTTAACGTGCAGTTGCACAGGGGCGGGTCGGGGCAGGAGAAGCGGAAGACCATCTCCCACCAGAACGAGCAGGAAAGAAGGCGCGGGAGTGCTCCGCTCTGAGGAGGACGAGGGAGAAAGGAGGAGGGAGGAGGGAGGGGGAGGAGCAGGAGGAGTGAGCAGGAGGAGGAGGAGGAGGAGGGGGAGGAGCAGGAGGAGGAGGAGGACGAGGAGGAGGAGGAGGAGGAGGATAAGGATAAGGAAAAGGATAAGGATAAGGAAAAGGATAAGGATAAGGATAAGGTTAAGGATAATGATTAGGATAAGGATCAGCACATCGGGGGCGAATCCGAGCAGCAGGCCACGATAGGGCCTGAATACGGAACGGAGGCCCCTGCGGGTGATATGTATGCAGGGCCAGGCAGCTCTCTGCCTTGGCCTGCCGGGGGCGCCTCGCGGGGGTCCTGTCCTCCGGCCCCTCCTCCTCCTCCCCCCCCCCCTCCCCCCCCCCTCCTACTCCCCCTCCCCCCCTCCCCCCCCCTCCCCCCTCCCCTCCTCCTCCCCTCCTCCCCCTCCTCCTCCTCCCCCTCCTCCTCCTCCTCCTCCTCCTCCTCCTCCTCCACCTCCACCGCTGGCGCGCGAGGGGCTAGGCAGCAGGGAGCTCTGACGCTCCTGCCTTGGCGCCGAGGCGCGGCACCGCTGGCTCATCCGACGCGGCGAGCGGGCCTGCGCAAGGAGGAGGACGCACGATCCACGAGTTCGCCTGCTCGGGTCGATCACGGCCCCCCCCCTCACCCCTGCCCCGACCACAGAGAGGGCAGCTCAAGGCCCCTCCTTAGATCAACTGCCGATCTTTTGTTTCTCCAGGAAGCGATCTCCGCCGCCCCGAGATGAGGCACGAGCGCGAGGCGAACGAAACGGAAAGGGAAAGGAGAGACGCTAAGGGAGCCAGCCCAAGTTCGAGCAAGCAGCGGAGGCCCCCGACCAGGGGGTGGAGGGGGGAGAGGGATAAAGGGAAGCCGCGGAGAGGCGACAGCCTCGGGACGAGGGAAGAGGGGAGGACGGCCACTCCAGTCGCGGACGCGCCAAACGCTCGACCCTCATTGTTAGCTGTCTTGTTTTGGCGCAGCTACATTGTTTTAACTGCTCGGCGAGTGTTTTACATAAGACAAGCATGCATCCCCCAGTAAGCCTTTCGAGCGAGGAAGGAGTCGATTCCTTTGTCTAATCTGCGTCACATTCGGCGAGCAGAAAGAATTCCCAACCTTCCAGCCCATGTCCACACTCCATCAGGTATTGTTCCGCACAAACAACCATGGCATCATTGAGCAGAGTGGGTTTCGGAGCATGACCATCATTGCGTTTCGTTGCCTGCCCATCTGGCTGACCCGTTTGCTCTTTCGAATTGAGATGTGTCTTGCGCCTGACAAGCGAACGCGAAGAAGGGCCCACAACCGACCACGGATCCAACTGCGACAACATCTCGCTACACTAGGCAAGTGCGTCATTGACTGTTCCGTTCTGCTCGTCCTGCCTGTCCGCTTCAGGCAACTTACAGCTCCAGCACACTCTGAATCTTGCAACACCCCCAAATCAACCCAGCTGTGCAAAGCTGCAGCACCTTGCGTGTCAGTGGCTTTGTATTCAAACTGTTGGCAAATCTCATCACATGTATGAGAAGTACCCCGCAACAGGAGATTCCACACTTCGTCAACTAAGTACACTGTGTCATTGCAGTGCTGCTGCTCAGTGCTCTTCGGCTGCGCGCCCGCAAGGTCGTGCAAGGTACCTCATGCCCACAGATAATCAGTCCCCTGGGCCATGATCTTCTGGGTATTCTTCTTCTATGGTTTCTCAGGCGCGGCCAACAAGTGCAAACATCTTTCCCCATGAACCATGTGCCCACGGAGGGCAAGCAACAAACTGGAATGGTTTCCTTGTCCTTGAGCGTGTGTCGATCTCGCACCGGCCACCGCCTTTCCTTTTCAAGTTCTGTTTTGCCCTCCTCAACAGGAAAAACACATGATGTCAATATGGCGGCCTCAAGACCTGGGAGCGGGTCTATCGCGAAGTATACCCAGATACCCAGCTTCGCCAATTGCGTTATTCTTGCGTGTGCTCTCCTAGTGCGCTCGCGCCGCCTCGTGCTTGTGGCCTTGTCTGAAAATGTAGCACCGAAAAGGGATGGCACATATGAAGACCAGGGCAACACCATCAGTTCTGTATCGGATGTGTGCGGAAAAGATGTGCAGGCCCCGGTCTCCTCCGCCTCCTCCTCCTCTTCTTTCCCCCCCCGGCCAAGACAGGGACGCTGCAGGCCTGGGTCTTGGAGATAGAAACTCGGGACCCGTCTGTCAGGTCGGTGCTCCGCTTGAGCTTGCCAACGCCGAGCAGGAGGAGGAGAAGGAGGAGGAGGAGGAGGAGCAGGAGGAGGAGGAAGAGGAGGAGCAGGAGGAGGGTGGGAGGAGGAGGAGGAGGAGGGAGGAGGAGGAGCAGGAGGAGCAGGAGGAGGTAGGAGGAGGTGGAGGAGGAGGAGGAGGAGCAGTGCAAACCCATGACTCACCAACGATGTTGCAATAAACCCTCACTTCAAGCTCCCCATCCACGGGCCCCTACAAGAAAGCATTTTTCACTCAGGGAAGTGCCCTGTTGAAGACAACCATTCGAAATCCTGAAAGTGCCAGAGCAACATTCCTGGGTCTTCCACGCCGCGAATAACCATTCTTGTTGCGTCTCGACTATCCTGCATCGTGCCAGACCATTGTTTCGGGGGTTCAAACACCTCGAATCAGCGCAACTGTTGCGCCCTGGCAGTCCGACATCGTGCCCAAACACGATATTGGGGATGCTAGCCATGATAATCGTTGAAACTACGGTACACTCTTGAAGCGAATGTGCGCGGCGCTCAAACGAGAGCCACATTCTGAAACGGAACCGCCATCCATCCGTGAAACTGTCGCAACTTTTGAGAAACAGTGTGCGCGGCGCTACGGCGAGAGCTACATTTTGAACACGACCCGCCCTCCATCCGTAAATCTTTTGCACAATTAAAAGACGAATGTGCGCGGCGCTAAGGCGAGAGCAACATTTTGAAAACCACCCGTCCTCAATCCGTGAAGCTGTTGCACATTTCAAGCTTCAGGACCATAAAGGGTGAGGGAGTCTCATGCGAAACGGTCTGTCCGTCCTTTCGACTGGCTTGGGAGGAGTTGTTTATAAGGCAAATGAATGGAGGAGGAGGCGGAGAAGGAAGATGAGGATGAGGAGGAGGAGGAATTGGAGGAGGAGGAGGAGGTGGACCGGAGGAGGAGGAGAAGGATGAGGAGGAGGAGGAGGGAGGAGGAGGAGGGAGGAGGGAGGAGGGGGGAGGTAAGGAGGAGGGTGGGAGGAGGCGGCGTGCTCCAATCTGACCCTCTCGCCGCCCGGCGCTGCCCTGTGCTCTCTTGCGGCCGTGTGCCTTGGGTGCCGCCCCCTTCGTCCGAGGGCGGGGAGGGGCGGCGGGCACCTGGAACCTGTCGGGGTAGTGGTTTGGCCGCTGGTTCCTGTGCCCTGCTGCAGCAGCTGCTGCGGCAGCAGCTGCTGCGGCAGCAGCTGCTGCAGTGCTCCCCCCACTCCTCCTCCTCCTACTCCTCTCCTCCTCCTCCTCCTCCTCCTCCTCCTCCCCTTCCCCTTCCCTCCTCCTCCTCCTCCTCCTTCCTTTCCTCCTCCTTTTCCTTTTCCTCTTCCTTTTCCTTTTCCTCCTCCTCCTCCTCCTCCTCCTCCTCCTCCTCCTCCTCCCCCTCCTCTCCCCCCCACTCCTCCCCCCTCCCCCTCCTCCTCCTCCTCCTCCTCCTCCTCCCCCCTCTTCTCCTCCCCCTCCTCCTCCTCTTCCTCCTCCTCGCGCTTGGCCTGGCCGCCGCCCTTGCAGCCGCCTTGCGCCCCTCGCCGGCTCGCCGCCCTCGCCGCCGCCTCGGCCCGCGCGGCGCGCAGCCGCCGAGCGCCCAGGAGCGCCGCGCCAAGCTCGCCCTGGCCGCCGGCTCCTCTCCCCTCCTCCTCCCCTGGAGGGCCAAGGCGACCCGTTTCTAGAAGGCCAATCTCGAGGGCCTATGCCAAATACGGGTCTTATTTTCTTGCCACGAGCGTCTATGGGCAAAGTCGGGTGTCGTTTACGATGCGTCTATAGACAACGCAGCCGTCGCGGTCGGCGCAGTACAACGTCGGAGAACGGCAGGTCCCACGCGGTACTCCAACTCCTCCTCGCTCCTCCTAGACCTCCTACAGTCGGTATCGGAGTAGATGGGGTCGGGGGATCGCGCCACATCGCCGATGCATTGGCGATGCTGCTCGACGTGGAGCCCGATTTTCTCCACGCTGGCGTTGCAGATGCGCCGCCGACGTCGCCGATGCATCGTCGAATCATCGTCGATGCATCGGTGCTGCGGCGCGATCCTCCGACACATCTACTCGGACAGTATCTGGGAGGCCTTTGCTCCTCCTTCCTGCCACCGTGGCACGTTGCGGCCGCGGGGATGCCTCTCGCTCATCTCGGTAGGCCAGTTTGTGAGCACACGGGATCCGACAGGGACGGAACAATGAGGGGAGGCAGGGGTGGGGGGGAGCAGGGAAAAGCGGAGGGGTTTAGACGAGGGAGGGTGGTGGCGTGGTGGGGCGGAGGCTTCTTCTTCGCTGCCGATTTCCGATGTAACGCCTGCTTGGTCCCTTCGTAGGGGCATCCTAAGGGCGAGAGGATCGGCGTTTGGGGCATGTGCGCCACACCATCTCATGCTCCCGATTGCACTTTGCACTAGTAGGGGTAGTGCATGGATTTCTGTGGCGTCTGCTCATGAAGCCATCACATGTTTGTAGCAGACCTGGCTCCACGTGACCCGCTCCAGACCCTGGGCATGGCAGCGCTGACCTCCCCCGGGCCGTCTGCCTCTACCCCTGTCGGCCCCCGCCGGCAAAGACGCCCCCGTCCACGGTGGGGGCGTTGGACTTCAGACCCTGGAGGATTCCTTATCTGATGAGGGCGGCGGTCATATCCATAGCCAATCCTCGATTGGAGTTCCACCAGCATCTAGCCCCTGGCCGAGGAGGAGGAGGAGGAGGAGGAGGAGGAGGCGGAGGAGGAGGAGGAGGAGGAGGCGGAGGAGGAGGAGGAGGAGGAGGAGGAGGAAGCCCCTGGAATCCTTATCCAATGGTTCACTATCCAGTGCCCTCACCTCGCTCTTGCCACCCTGCGCCGGCCCTCTGCGGGACTCCGCCGACGCTCAAGATTTCTCGAAGGCGAGGGCCTTCATGGAGCGGTCGCTCTCAAGATTCCTCGAGGGTGAGGGGTCGCTTTCGGGATTCCTCGAAGGCTGGGGGTCGCTGTCAAGATCCCTCGAAGGTGAGGTCCTTCATGGAGCGCCCCCGGGCTGCTGGAGAGCGGGAGGCACGGCGGAGCAGTCGGCAGTCTGGCCCGCCGTAGAGACCAAGCGCCCCCCACGCTGGAGGACGGCCGAGTACAAGGCTCGGCTAGACAGCGAGCTGTACCAGAGCAAGCTCGAGGACCCCGTGGATCACCTCTGCCGTCTCTTGGCTGTCTCCTCGCGTCTCTCGTCTCTCTCTCTCAGAGGAGGAAGAGGAGGAGGGAGGAGGAGGAGAGGAGGAGGAGGAGGAGGAAGTGAGGAGGAGGAGGAGGAGGAGGAGGAGGAGAGGAGGAGGAGGAGGAGAGGAGGAGGAGGAGGAAGCGAGGAGCGGAGGAGGGAAGAGGGAGGAGGGAGGAGGAGGAGGGAGGAGGGAGGCGCGGGCAGCGAGCAGCGAAGCAGCGACGCCCCGGGAGCGAGGAGCGAGGAGGAGGCGCGAGGAGCGAGGACGAGGCGCGAGGAGCGAGGAGGAGGCGGAGGATGAGGAGGAGGAGGGGAGGAGGAGGAGGAGGAGGAGTAGGATTTTTTTTCTTTAGGAGGAGGAAGAGGAGGAGAAGGTAGGAGGAGGAGGAGGAGGGAGGAGGAGGAGGATAGAGAGGAGGATAGGAGGAGAGGATAGGAGGAGGAGGAGGATAGGAGAGGAGGAGGATAGGAGGAGGGAGGAGGAGGATAGGAGGAGGAGGAGGAGGCGCGGTAAGAGGAGGGATGAGGGAGAGAGGAGGGAGGGAGGGAGGGAGGGAGGAGGGAGAGGAGGAGGAGGAGGAGCGAGGACGAAGGAGCGAGGAGGAGGAGGAGGAGGAGGAGGAGGAGCAGGATAGGGAGGAGGAGGAGAGGAAGAGGAGGGAGGGGAGGAGGAAGGAGGGAGGAGAAGGGAGGAGGACGGCGGAGGATGGAGGAGGAGGAAGAGGAGGAGGAGGAGGAAGAGGAAGAGGAAGAGGAAGAGGAGGAGGAGGAAACATAATAATACTACGACTAAGCCTACTATGAATACTAAGACTAACAAGTCTAATTATACTAAACATACTAGCACTAGTATTAATCACAAGAGGAGGAGGAGGAGGAGGAGGAGGAGGAGGAGGAGGAGGAGGAGGAGGAGGAACTGGAGAAGGAGGAGGAGGAGGTTTCTGTCTCTGTCTCTGGCGCTGTCTCTCGGTCTTCTCTGTCTCTGTCCCTGTCTCTGTCTCTGTCTCTGTCTCTGTCTCTCTCTTTCTCTCCTCCGTCTTCTGTGTTTCTCTTGGTCATCGTTTTTTTGTTTTTTTGTTGTTGCTGTTTCTGTTTTTTGTCCCAACTATCCTGTGGTGTTGGGTCCTCGTTTTGAAGAGACATCGCCCCGCGTCCTTCCTCCCGCTGCCCCCCCTCTTCCTCCTACTCCCATCATCATCATCATCATCATCATCATCATCATCATCATCATCATCATCATCATCATCATCATCATCAACATCATCATCATCATCATCATCATCATCACCACCACCACCACCATTATCGTCGTCGTCGTCGTCGTCGTCACCCATGTCGGCACACCCCTCACACGTTTCGTGGCCCCACAGGGAGCTCCACCGAAGGTCCCAGTGGGTGTGCCCGCATGCGTCCCGCACACCCAATTCGGCCCACCCCTCACACGTTTCGTGGCCCCATCTGCCGAAGGTCCCAGTGGCACAGTCCGCATGCGTCCCCGCCATTCATGTTAGCACACCCCTCACACGTTTCGTGGCCCCACAGGAGCTCCGCCGAAGGTCCCAGTGGCACAGTCCGCATGCATTCCCGCCACTCATTTCGGCACATCCCTCACACGTTTCGTGGCCCCAAAGGGAACTCCACCGAAGGTCCCCGTGGCGCAGTCCGCGTGCGTCTCCCTTACCCAGTACAGCGTTACGTGGCCCCATATGGAGCCCCACCGCATTTCCCAGCCAGCCAGCTAGCTCTCTTTGCTCCGCGCAGCGGACGACCCGCGCGCGTCGCTGGGACCCCTCTGGGGCGACTTGCGCGCGTCGCGGGGACTCCGTGCTGCGTTCTGCCCAGCGCCTCGCTCGCCCGTCGTCGCTCTGCCCAGCGGCAAGAGCCTTGCCCGCTATCAGCCAGCCAGCTAGCTCTCTTTGCTCCGCGCAGCGGAGCGTCGCTGGGACCCCTCCGGGGCGACCTGCGCGCGTCGCGGGGACTCCGCGCTGCGCCGCGCCCGCAGCCTTGGACTTTTGAATGCGCGGGCAAAGAGGGAGTAAATGAATGGGAGGAAGCGGGCGGGATCCTCGCGGGGGGGCGCGCCGACATTGGCGTCGCGGCGCGCGGGCGAATGCTCCGGGGAGTCCCGGGGAAGCTCCTTGCGGCGGCCACGCCCAGCGTCACGAGTACTCAGAGGCAGTCGTTGTCAAACTGTTGACATTCATGTACAATTGCACCACGCTTTGTCATATTCGCATTCATGCACGTAGACTCGCTCGCACGCGTATTCGTTCACAGTCAGACGCACATGCGCGCAGATTCACCCGCGCTCAGTCTCCCTACGTACTCAGATCAATCGTTTTCGTTCGCGTTGTGTACCACGCCAACATGTCGGCGCACCCCTAGCACGGTTCGTTGCCCCATAGGGATCGCCACCGAAAAAGTGAACCACTACTGCGGTACTCGCACCTGCATATGGTTGGGTCCCTCGTCAGGCTAATTTCTCCAGTTTCTTCTCCTAACTCGTCCTCCGCCACCTGCCCAAACCTCCGACATCTCGACCGTTTCGAGTCGCCTGCCCCTGGACCTCTAGATTCTTCAGGCTTGAGCCACATCCGCCGACCCCTTGATTCGGTATGGGTGCCAACTCAGAATCTCGTAGGGGATGTCGGGGCACTCTTTCGAGCACTGGAGACTCACAATTTTGGGTCGCTCTCCCGGGCACTCGGGTCCCCCTCGGGTTGCCAATGCGACCTCTTCGAGCTCTCTTGGGCTGGACTCTTGGTATTTTCGGTTCGCGTTTCTGGTTGTGCCTCCGATTGGGCTCTCTTGCGGCTGTCCTGGGTGCGTTTTGGGTTGTCTTGGGCGCTTCCTGGAAGCTTCGTGGGCAATGTGGATGCGATCTCTGGGTTTTCTCGCGCCGTTTGGAAAAAAAAAGCAAAAGGCGAACATTTTCCGAGAAATTGAAACATGGAAAGTCCATCAAGCGAAGAGATGGGACGAGGTTTCCCTCTTGGGGGCTCTCTTGGGAAGCCTTTATGAGGTCATGTAGGATGTCTTGGGGGCATTTTGGGCTGTGTGGGGGCCGCCAAACGATATTTCGGCGTCTCGAGGTCTTCTGGGAGCGTCTTGGGTGCGTCTGCGTGCTCTCTTGGCGCGTTTGGGGGCTCTCAGTCCTTCCATGGCGCGTTCGGGCCGGGCCCGGGGGGGGTCAAAATGCCAGTTTGGGGTCCCGGGGAGGGGGATTAGGGTGGGGGGAACCATTTCACACGTCTAGAGACCCAGAAGGCGTCGGCGGAGAAAGGTTACGCATGCGTTTCGTCCGAGACATCGTCGGCAAGCCGAGTGGGCTCCTCCTCTTCCTCCTCCTTTTCTCCTTCTCCTCTTGCTCCTCCTCCTTCTCCTCCTCCTCCTCCCCCAATTCGCGGGTGCACCGCATTTCGCGCGTGCCCACCAAAACCGCACGCTGAAGTGCAA